TGGGTGTATTTTATCCCTGAGAGTATAGCCTGTCCTCTTGTCAGAGGATCAAATGCCCTTCACTAGGCATTCCAGACAGACCTTTGTGTTTCTGTCTTAGGAGCAGGCTTGCTGGCAATGATACCTAGCATTGCAAAATCCTTCTTAAAGCCTTTGTTTAATGCCAGAGATCGCAAATGCTTTCAGATTCTGGAGAGGTGCCAAACTGTGCTCCCGGATTAGGAGACGATGGAAGGACTCCTATAATCTATAAACCTCATATAAGCTTGCCATTTCAAATGAATGAATTGTTTAGAGTGTTGGAAGGAGTCCAGGGATGCTTGAGTTCCTTTTTTAGCTATACAAATTCTAAGCTATTGGACTTTTATAATTACAGTCTAATTTCTGCATTATGATTTGTGCTACTTTGAGGTGAACTTGTAAAAAATTCAGCCTGTTCCTTTTGCTGCCCTCTAGGACAGATCATGGCCATGGGCCAGTTTACTTGTAGCATTTTCTTATTTGTCTTTTATGTCAAAGACATTTGTGGGAAATGTTGGTTTTTGTGCACCATTTAGAGTGATACTCAGTTTCAATGCCTTAAAGCATTGCAGAGTGCGTGACTGGGCAGGTGTGAATAGGTAAGTCCACAGTGTTGTGATTGCTAAAGTCCCAGTTAAACATAAATGTGAATACTTTTATCATGAAATACAAGATTATACCAGACTGTGACAGTTTTTAAAAGTCCACGATGCTCTTTGGTCTGCCTCTTTCTCTGCCAGTCCAGCATTAGACTCGGAGGAGATATGCCCAGATGGTGAACTGAGTATCATCCAGAGCAGGACAAATCTTTTTAAAGAGCTGGCCATGGTGAACTCCTGGGATTCCCAGCCTGCACCGCTGGTTTGTGGAGCCAGCCCCGCATTCTCCCTGGTGGCACCGAGGCAGTCTCTGTTTGTGGTCAGAACTCCCTGCTGTTCCCAGCCAGCCCAGGCTGCGAGTGTTTTCACACGGCTCTGGCTCTGGTGATACAAAGGGCACGCAGTGCCAGCCATAACACTGAGTAATGCCGGGAGGTGCCTTCTAGAACAAACAATGTGGGTGAGCTCTGCAGAGAGGGAATACCTCTGGCTTGACATTTAAATTACTGAATTATTCAAATGAATGTCAATTAGGTGGAGTAGACTTTCTGCCTTCTGCCAGGGCACTTCCTGGATATTCGCACAGGCGAGTGTAAAATACTTTACATCAGATACGGTGCTTCCTGTCAGTACTGTTGAAAATCAGTCACAGAATGTGATTATCTGTTCCTTGGTGTTCCTTGATGTGTGCTGTATTTATATCACAGTCTGAAAGATTAGGAGTCTACACACCCATACCTGTGGCTCTGAAAGGGGTTTTGTGATCATTCTCGAACCCCACCCCCACTCCCACACCAAATAAAATATCACAGGCCCACACATGTTATGCTTATTCCTAAATTTGACAAGACTGAAAAAGTGAGTCATGGGCATTTTGAGTCCTGCTGTCTTCCTTAGAATTGTGGATATCAAGATCCGAGAATGCTATTACTACCTTGCTTTTAACCTTCTTTGTTGACTTAGTAATTCTAGTTCAGAAAATACTTCCATCTACTCAACTCTGTCAGATGAAATTGCCAAAGTGACATGTAGCGAATGTGAATGTGTGCCTGCATGTGTGTTCACCTGTGTGGTCATTTTGTCATTCTTACGAATTTAGGGTCTTCATTTATATTTGGATATATATAAAAAATAAATACACGATGAAGGACTTTGCTAATTAGTTATGTGGGAATACACAAAGTAAGAAGATTGAATGGTGGATAAGGAACAAAATAGGAAAGAGAAGTTAGGGAAGGTTTTGTACTTCCCCGTTAGCTAACTGTTGGGACTCAGCTCAGGGTTCTTTCGTATCAGAGATTGAGTTAATTATTACATATCATTAACAGTTGTCTTTCCTTGCCTTTTTCCCCCGATTGTGGAGGGTAGGTTATAAAAACCCTGGTATTTGACATCTTACTGAAAAGAATCACCAACTTACAGGTAGTTAATCCCTGGTTGTCTACATGCAACTACAGGAAGTACATAAAGAATTTAAGGAGAGTGCTTAATAAACAGATGAATCCCTTTGACTTAGTTTGTGACCCTGCAGGATTAAAGCCTAGGTATACCACGGAGTTAGGTATAGTGAGTGAATTTTACTGAAGGTGATATTCACTTGAGGCTGTCACATCTGGCAAAACTCTTTAGGTTATAGTACAAACGACTGTCAGGCTCCCTGCACAGCCTATCAAAAACTAGAGACCCTGGAAAAGCAGTGCCCCTTCTGCATCTGTGTACTTAGAATTTAGTTTGGGATGGAACTTTAAAAACAGAGTTTGTTTTGAGAGCACATTAGAGAAATGATTGTTGTTGTTACTTTATTTTTTAAAAATTTGGCATTTTTAAATTACAAGCACTGGTGTCCTTAATCCTTTGGTTCCCTGAACTGTCCATTTCCCCAGGACCAGTGATGAGCAGGCTCTCTCTAGTCTAGCATTGCTGGTTTATTGTTATTCTTAGCAGCCTATACGTGCAGCGAGCTGAGTAAATCATACTCATCAATTCATTATCAGTCCATGAACAGCTCTCTCCTACTTTATTTTTATTTTGCTCCTTCATCCCAGCGCTAACCCCTTATCCCCAAACCAGTGTCAACAGGCACATACTCTTCAGTGGGTTAGGTATATATCCTGGGGTATCTGTGATCTTCTAAAAATACTCAGGATTTTAAAATATATGTTTACGTTTCAAATTTACATAAATTGCATTATTTCAGTTTTTAGCATAGTCTTTTCAATTGCCTGCCATAGATCACAAGCAAATTAGTCTGACACTATGACCTCTCCCCCTCACCCCACCCATCCACTTCCCTCCAAAGAATCATCACCTGTTGGGCAGCATAGTTGGCAGCCCTCAGCCTGCTTTGTGCCATTCAAGAGTGGCAAGCATGTCTAGACTCCCTGGAAATATTATCTTTCAGCTCTCTTTTGGCAAGTGTAAACTTTTTGCTGGATTATGTCAACAGATATACATGTTTCTCATCCCCATAGAAATAGATTGGTGCTGGTATTTCCTTCGGATTTCTCCAGGCAAGGAACATAAAGACTATCTCTTTGCTCATTAAAACTTTTGCTCATTAAAAATGTTTGACGGCTCTTGATTCTCAGGGGTGAGACTGGTGACATACATAGACTGTCAGCGGCTATTTTGGATTTTGTGCTTTCAGGCATGTCTTTGCTCTTGGATGAGCCCCTTGTGGTTTTCAAAGGAACTAGCAAGTCAATTATAAATAGAAGGCTGTGTCTGTGTGTCTGCATGCACTTACTCTGTGGGACGAGGCACCCACATTACAGTGGGCAGTGAACTATTTTTCCACTTCTTTGAAGAGGGAAGAAGAAAGATTAAGAATGCTTTTCTCTTTTTGAGATAACCCACATCTCTACACACACCCACACAAATCTGTGTAAATGAACTTGACATTTTCAAAGACCTTACCTTAAGGTCTCCTCTGGAAAGCACAGCCACCCGACCTGTTATTTTAAGAAAGAAGCATTTATCTCACAGACCCACTACTGAGGGTTCAGGGATTAGAAGGCAGCCTCTATGTGCCATAGACCTTTGGAGGGAGCTCTGAAAACGGAATTTCCTTATATGAACAGTGCTTTGGCAAAAGAGGTCTCAGCTAACTAATCAGTGGCCTCTAGGACTTGGCTGTTTACATTTTATCCTCTCTTTCCTTCCCCACTAGTAGAAACTGTGGGACCAGCAAGTCTAAACTAATCATACTGACAAGGGAAGAGAAAAGAGTAATGTGAAAATGAAACTGCAAATAAGTATTCTCAGAAAGAGGCAGTTAAGTGGAGTGATTAGGTGCGCTTCCCTGATCATCCGTTTCTGCCTCTTTCCATTGCACCTTGAACTTCCCACGTGTGTGTTCTTCCAGTGGTCCCACCTGTCACCTTACTGTTCAAACATTATTTGGTTCTCTTTGACTCCTTGTGTCCTCACTCTTCATATTTGGCACCATTTTTTTTTTCTGCCAGCCAAAAATTCTTAAGCAGCTATTAATTCCCACTATAATCTATGTAAACTTTAGTGTAACCACTATTGAAAATTTAGTCTAGGTATCTAGCTGGAAATATTGGTACCATGGATTGTAATTATAGATTGTGCAGCCTTGCAAACTCTTATTATATTACAGGTTGAACATCCCGAATCTCAAAACCTGACATTTGAACTGCTCCAGAATCCAAACCTTTTTGAGCATTGACCCAATGCTCAATAGAATGCTCATTGAAGCATTTTGAATTTTGGATTTTTGGATTTGAGATGCTCAGCCAGGATAGATGCAGCTATTCCCCAATCCAGAACATTTTTAAATTTGAAACGTTTCTGGTCCCAAACATTTTAAGTAAGGGATACTCAGTTTGTGGTATATTTCTGCATGTAGCTGCAAGAATGTCAGCATTCCTTGTTTTACTAGTTGATGGGGATTTGTACAGAGCTAGCAAGAATTGGTATTAATAGCTGCCATGTATTTAGGAGCGGTTTTTTTTTTTTTTGAATAGAATAGAAGTGATAAACATTATGTTCCAGTAAAACATTTTATTTTGATGCAATAACTGGGATCTGAGAGCCAATCGAGATGAAGGTTATATGAACACCACAGGGGAGAGGCTCATTTTCAGAAGTCTGTGGACAGATGATAGCCAGTCTTTGCCCTAATATGATCTAAAAGGGTGCACAGCTTATATAAATGAATCGCTATGTTGAGAGGCAATTATTATTTGTTGGTTGGTTAGGTGACAAGATCACAGAATGTGGACCTCATGGTTGATGGTGATGCTTAACTTGACTTTCTGTTCAATAGAAGTGTTTGGAATGGTCATTCCCTCAATGAAGGCGAAACTCATACAGTAATTCTTTTTTTTTTTTTCCCTTCCTTTCTCTCCCTTGCAGATGAGAAGCCCAAGGTCAACCCCAAACTCTACATGTGTGTGTGTGAAGGTCTCTCCTGCGGTAATGAGGACCACTGTGAAGGCCAGCAGTGCTTTTCCTCACTGAGCATCAACGATGGCTTCCATGTCTACCAGAAAGGCTGCTTCCAGGTTTATGAGCAGGGAAAGATGACCTGTAAGACCCCGCCGTCCCCTGGCCAAGCCGTGGAGTGCTGCCAAGGGGACTGGTGTAACAGGAACATCACGGCCCAGCTGCCCACTAAAGGTTCCCGCAGACTTTTCTATTTCTAGATCAAGGGGTTTTGTTAGTGTTGTCCTGAGTCTGTGTGGGTTAAAGATCTTAGTAGCTATGATGCATTCCACCTACATTTTGAATCAGAGTCAAAGAGCTAAAAGGAAGGTAGCCCTGGGTGAAGAAGAGAAAGGACCAGCCTTTTGGCATCTAAAAGAAGGATGGGCCTTTTGGGGGAATGTAAGCAAGATGATGTCCATCTTGGGGACAGCTTGGCTGACCAGTTAGCTCTCTCTTGGTTGCTGTGACTCAGGTGAACAGCTCCCAGTACCTTTTTAGGTTACTGACCTCTGATGTCATTCATAATTTCTGAAACAATTCTGTTAGTAAATACTCATCTCTATGTCAAGTGTGTAGGGAGGAAAATGGAACGGACTGATGACTGAGTGGAATACCTTTACTGTTTTATGAGGAAGGAGACAAAAGAAGGCTCACTGATCTGTTCTCCCATATCTGATGCCCAGTGACCCTATCACTGAAACTTGAAGCAGGATGAGATTTCACACAAACCCTGTAGTTTATGTGGAATCTTCTCTCTACCACCAGTACAGATTGCATATGCTAAGAAAACCAGTCCACCTCTGAAACTGTTTCCCTATTAAATGAGCCCTAAGTTGCAATCTTAAAGTCTCTGCAAACATTAATGTAGACTCATTCTAAGCCAAATTTATTCTCTTACCATATAGTACATTTTTAATAGGTTTAGTTATTTAATTTTGTACTCCGAAAAAAGAAAGAAACCAAAAAGTGGAGGAGAGGTAACAAGGAGCATCCAAAACTAGAAATGTCAGCCAGCAAGGAAGGAGGCAGAAGAACAAAAAAACTGATGCAAGATCATGTTCTAGTAATTTTGAAGTTATGGTGATGACTTGAAAGCATATGGAAAAGGTTAAATTCTGACAAGCAAATAGGACTGAATAATCAAAGAGGGTTTTAAAAGAGATCAAGTATTTACATGGTTAAAACTAAAAGGTTCTTGATGGAATAAAATTTACTGTTATATTTTGTGAGTTAAATTTTTATTAATTGGGTGAATAGACATGAACAAATGTCTGAATTCATACAAAAATTATACCAACAGTGTGAAGTTTCTCATCTGCAGATTACTCTGCTAGACCTTGAGTTTTAATAGAAGATTTTTTTTTTTTTTTTTTTTTAGTTTAAGGACATTCTAATCTGATTAGGGTGGCCACAGTATTTATAGTTCCATGTTGCATTTTGTTAGTTTTACACTTTCTCATATGAATGACATATGCCATGGAGTATGATGTATGTCAAGCTGTTGATTAGTTGGTCTTGGAAAGTTAAATAAATATGTAAGGGAAGTTAGGCTTGTGATTGGATGGCTGAAGAGACCAGTAATATGGAAATGGGTAAGGCCTGTGTAGGGAAGAACAGGACCTGATGACATAATGTAATGAAGAGGTCTGAACCAAGGTAGTGAATCAGTGATGAATGTCTGAATAAGTGAGTAAACAATGAGAGGAATGAGTGGGTTCCTAGGCAGAAATTGTGATGTGAAAAAATGAATGAGAAATCAGTAGTAGACACCCAGGATATGTGAAAGACAGAGACCACAGATGGGTAATTTGGTTTTAGCTCAGGTAGCCCTTTCTCTTAAGGATAGTACAGTATCTGTAAGAGCTTGATGGTGAAACATACCGAATCCAAGTTAATAAGAGTAATGTCAAAGATTTGTACAGTACTTTATATTTTAAAAGCACTCTCACATTCATGCATTAATACAATTGATTCTCAGTGGAATTTTTTTCAAGTTCTAGTTGTGTCTAATTGAATGATGGTTAAAATGTCTGGGCCATTGGCCAGGTATTAGGAAGTGTTTTAGTTTAATACTTCGTGAGTTGTGAGACTGTGTGGTCAGAATCAGGAGCCACTTGTTAGGATATTGGTTATGTTAATAATAAGTAAGCAGTGATCCTTACAACCAATTCCCCTTTTCCCCCACAACTCCAGGAAAATCCTTCCCTGGAACACAGAATTTCCACTTGGAGGTCGGCCTCATTATTCTCTCTGTAGTGTTCGCAGTATGTCTTTTAGCCTGCCTGCTGGGAGTTGCTCTCCGAAAATTTAAAAGGCGCAACCAAGAACGCCTCAATCCCCGAGATGTGGAGTATGGTACCATTGAAGGGCTCATCACCACCAATGTTGGAGACAGCACTTTAGCAGTAAGTCATGACCCCACAGGGAATCCCAAGCATAAGGAAGATGTCTGGAGACATGTTCTTATTTCGAGCATGAAACACTAACCAGTAATGAGTGACTGAACAGTGTACACACATGCTGTTGGTTACTTATGTCCTAAACAAGCACATGCTGGCACCTGTGTAGTCCTTCCATATCATAACAGCCATTTTAGACAGACATTTAAATAAGGGATGGGATTTATTTTAGTAGTGTTGGTAGTTAGTTACTTTTCTCTGAGGAGTAAAGCAAAAAAGAATGGTTGCCTACAATTTTGAAGGGTTGGAATTTGTGGTCTTCAGGTACTCTATTTTTAGCCATAAAAGTGCTCTTTGAAAAAGGCACCTTTTGCTTAATATTAAAAATTAATTTCCTTTCTAGATTATTTCAACACCCTGTAATTTAAGGCTTAAAAACTTGACATCCAAAAAAAGCAGCTTTTAAATTTTGTATGCTCCTGTGGTGCCCCCTTGTGGAGTGCAGTCATTTGGTTAAACCGGTGTTGTCCAATAGAAGCATGTGCATCACCTATGTAATTTAAAATTTTCAAATAGCCACCTTAAAAACAAATGAAAAAACCCAAAAAGTTTCTTAAAAGTAGAATTAATTTTAACAGATATTCAACCAAATATATACCATTTTATCATTTCAATGTGTAATTAAAAAATTATTAATGTAAATTTTACATTCTTTCTGCTTTTGAAGTAAGTTTTCAAAATCTTGTGTGTATTTTACACCTATAGCATATATCAATTCACACCAACCACAGTTTCCTTACTCATGGCAATGTGTGGCTAGTGACTTACTCATTGGACTGCACAGTGTTAGAAACCATTGTATTTATACATTAAAAAATTATTCTTTTGCATATTTTTAAATGATAAAATCACATTAAAAAGTGACTGTCTCCTTTTATTTACCTTTTAAAATTGCTTACCAAGCGTTCATTTTAAAGACGCTTTGAACTTTAAGTGGGGAAAGGGTATCACTTGCTCTAAATAGAAGGTTATCATAAAGTGCAAAAGAAAAAATAATAGCATTCTATATGGATATTATGCTGAGTCTGATGCTTACTTTGAAAAAATTTGAGATTTGTGGGTGTTAAGAGAGTGCAAGAGACATGCCAATACCAATTCGAGACTCTCTCCTTGTCACAATCTGATGAATTGAAAGGCAATCAAAGTAATAACTTTCTAATGTGATTCAGTGTTACTTAATGCCATTGCCCATGCGTATTTAAAATCATTTTGCAATAAGTCTTGTTCTGCTAGACAACAAGCTTCAAAGTGTCTGACAGTTCGGCAGTTACACTTGCCCTGCAGCTCCCCTTATACTGGAGAAGACTTCCCCTCACCATTGGCCATCTGGGTAGCACAGATGCTATACCTGGACAATTGCAGGACCCACCTTTGGTAGGCTGTCACAAACATTTGGTAGTGCCTGATATGGGCTGGGAAACATCCCATTCTACCACCTGCCCCATCACTGGGCCACTTTTTGGTATGTAAAAGGGGGAAGTAACCTTCTGTAGCTTCCATTTACCTACTGTTTAAACTGTGGCACAGTGGAACTGGGGAAAGAGAATGCAGTATAAGGACATTTCATTTCAAAAAGTAGAGAAATACAATTTTTTTTGTTAGCTATATACTTAGAAGTCTATTTCAAGCTTTAAGGGAAATTAAATGAGTTTATTGAGTTAGTAGCAAGAAGATGTGAGGATGAATCCTGACAAAGCTTTAGCAAAGCAAGATTCTAAAATAGGTTAGTTAGAACTTCATTCCTCAGAGCTGCTAACATAACTAATTACCAAGGGCAATAATAGGAATATCTGGTATAAATTACTGTTTAAATAGCTTTTAGAATTTTGAGAGAGGAATGGAGCATATGCCAAAATAGTCCTTTAAACTCAACCATGTCATGTGACAGTGTATCACGATATCATAACACAGTAAAGAACACTATTGCAAACAAGTTGTGATTATTGGTCTACATACTTGCTTATTTAAGCAATATGCTCATTTGCATGTTTCAACAAAGCATACCTTTACTAAGCTGCACATCTGCATTGAAAAACGAGCCTTGGCCATGCATGGTGACTCACGCCTGTAGTTCCAGCACTTTGGGAGGCCAAGGGGGAAGATCACTTGAGACCAGGGGTTCGAGACCAGCCTGGGCAATATAGTGAGACTCTGTCTTGAATTAAAGAAAAGAACAAAAAGAAGGCTTGGCATCTGAGAGTTGAGATATATGTTTGTTAGTCTTGGGTTGATTATTTATTTTTCCTTCCTTAGGTCTATGAACAGGGTTTAGAAGCAGGATCATACATTATGAAAAAAATAACACATTAGTTTAATTTTCAGAATTATTCTTCTCAAAAAAGAATGAATGAATAAGGAGAAAAAAGAACCGCAAGAGAGAAAATGGTTAGGGAGATATGAAACTCTGCTTCATCTACACTCATTTTCTTGTTGATTATCCCTTTTGTGGTTTTTAAGGGTTCTAAATTTCTTCCGTTGGATGTTCAGCTTTTGGTAATTTTGCCGATCAACAGTACTTCACAGTGGTGCTCAGAGGAAGTGAAAGAAGATGAAATTCATACAAATCAATGTATTGCTTTAGTAGGCCAGCCAAAATGTTTGGGAAAGGATGAGCTTTGGGAAATATTAACTCAATATTACTGCAACCCTACCTTTATCACCCATCGGCACAATATTGTTTATTACAAATAACCTGTGCCTGATACCTGCTTCTTGGCTTATGTTGAGAGTAAGAAGGAAAACTTTATCAATGAACTAACTGGGAATCTTTTTGCCAACACCTTCATTTGTAGACATTAACTTGGGGCACTGGTTTTATGTTTTCAATGAAAGCTTTATTTGTTTTCTTCTCTGATTTGTGAGTGATTCACATTAAGAAATGACAAGTAAGTGTTAATATAGTTTTGCTCCTCACCTACCTAAAAGGAAACCTCCAACCAGGCAGCCCATTGCTGCCTGAGCTTACCAATTTAATGATCCACATGGTCATTGGAGTCTTTTCGTTACAAATCACATTAGAGTTGTTTGTTCCTTATTCCTAGTTTGTTTGTTCCTAATTAGAGTTCCTTAGTTGGTATGGCAACTAAAGTGAATCATTTGACAGATACTTAGTGAGAATAGCAGAATATGGTAAATTATACCCAGTTCTTGAAGTTGAAGGGACGTCCCCCCCTCTTTCTCTTCCACCTGCTATACTCTCTACTGCTTCTCTTGTGCTCATCTCTGCTTCTTGGGCTTTCTGATTTACACCTTCAACTTTGTCTGCTCAGCTTCTTTCTTTATATATTTTATTTGGAAACTCTGCATATAAGAAAGGACTACTTATCCTTTGGGAAAACCTATCATATATTAGGTGAAGTGCTAGCTTCTAGTATTCCGAAGAAATAAAGCCAGTCCTGGCCAGGTGCGGTGGCTCATGCCTTTAATCCCAGCACTTTGGGAGGCCAAGGCAGGCAGATCACCTGAGGTCAGGAGTTCAAGACCAGCCTGACCAACATGGAGTAATGCCGTCTCTACTAAAAATACAAAATTAGCCGGGCGTTGTGGCACATGCCTGTAATCCCAGCTACTCGGGAGGCTGAGGCAGGAGAATAACTTGAACCTGGGAGGCAGAGATTGCAGTGAGCTGAGATCGTACCTTTGCACTGTAGCCTGGGCAACAAGAGTGAAACTCCGTCTCAGAAAAAAAAAAAAAGAAATAAAACCAGTCCTTCTTCCTTCTTCCAGAGGAGCTTTACATGTACACTAACAGGCCATGTGTCCCGGATTGCTGCCCTTCATGTGAGTTACAATGTCATGCATGCTAATGTTCCAAAGTGGGAGCTATATTGGTCAATTGTTTCTTTTCCCCCTTGTCTTAAACCACAGGATTTATTGGATCATTCGTGTACATCAGGAAGTGGCTCTGGTCTTCCTTTTCTGGTACAAAGAACAGTGGCTCGCCAGATTACACTGTTGGAGTGTGTCGGTAATTCTTTTTTTTCCTTTCTTTGTGGGTAATATGCAGTGTGAGTTGTGTTTTTGAAGTAAAAGATGGAACTTGGAAAATCTGCTTTTTGTTACCAGTTGTTTCCTTATTAAACTTATGAGATGTGGTCTCTATTCTGTATGACTCATATTGGAGCACCTGAACTTGTTTAAGCTCTTATCAAAGGAGTCCATCACTAATGAGTACACAGAACACCTCGTCAAAAGCTTTCCATTGTAAGTGGACCCTTTGGGATGGTGAGAGAATGCCTAAGAAATGAATTGATATGGTTGCTCCTTACCATAGGTATTGGATAATCTGAAGTAAGTAGGCTTTTGGACAATAAACTTGTTTATTGAAATTCTTTAATTCCTCTCATTCTTTTCTTCTTTTTGATGGGAATAATTAATGAAAATAATTAATGAAACCAATTCTAGCAAAGGGATCTTTATAACTCCTTTATTTAAATATGAGCTATATACATTTCTACATGACCTCTCACATTTTCCCCATACATGAACATATTTGTATGTGGACATAATCATGTTGTACATATAATTTATGTCCCTTTTTTCAGTTTTAAGCTCATGGACATTTCATGTGTTTGTACACATCACAAATACTTTTGAAGATTATGTAGCAGTCCATGAAATGACAGTGTCACTATAACTATACTGCTTGAAAAAGATTTTGCACACATTACTTCTTTCTTTTGAGTTCTCAGAAAAAAATTCCCAGGAATTGGGGATTCCTGGGTCAAAATTTGTAAATTTTTTTAATAGCTTGTTTTATATGCTGCTGATTGGCTCTCTAGGAAGATGGTACAAAGTACCAATTTCCTGATTTTTGTTAGCTTTGCTTTTATGTGGCAGGTATTTGCAAGTTCCATAATCATTTCCCTAACTTTCTCTTATAGACAGCTTGCAGGGATGGCTGCCGTAGCAATCATGGGTTGGCAACATCTCCACACCCTCTTCCTAGTGCTCATGGTTTCCGAGGGCTGGATTTGGCAGTTCCTGCCATTGCATCTTTTGCTTTTGGGAGGTGACCTCTAAGCTGCCCCCATCACTTGGCTGCTGTTCTCCAGATTTTCTTCTTGTTTTCTTGGAAAGAGGGACACCCCCAATCTGAGTAGTAGAAAGGGGGAAGGGCAGAGGTAGGAAGAGCAGTGGCTACCACCCTAAGGCACAGGAGTAACCAGAGGAGCTTATTTGTCCTTTCTCTAGGTCTATAGCTGTTGTCACTGTTTCCCACTTCTTGCTTCTCCTCCACGGCAGATTGTGAGCAGAGAAAATAAAGATGGAAAAGCCCCAAATGAGCTCATTAATTTCAACCAGAGTTGTCCTCTTGTACAACTAGTATCTTACTTGATTATGAACAAAATTATCTGGATAGTGGTGGGAAGACATTGAGGGGGTACATTTCCCTGCCTCATCTCCCCTGTCTACTATTCCATGCAAGCTATCGCAAGATTAGTCTTCAGAGATTGGCTCCAGAGTCCAAATGGCAAAAGAGTAATGCACCTTTAAAATATGTAGTTTCTGGTTCTATAGATACTCCTCAGCATTTTTTTTGAAACAGTATAAATATCATTGTTGCGTTCTCTTGGGTTAGCACTAAAGACTTTAATAAAAGCAGTGCCTTCATTAGCTTGTAGTTAGTGTGTTCATGCGGTACAGCTTTTAGTAAAAATATACGTGATGAACTGCATGGATGGTGTATTATTTTTGGTTCAAAAACATGGGAAGTTGGGGTAGGGGAGTCATTTCTGGATGATGATCAGTGAAACTACAACTTTCAGGTGCCTTAAGGGAGCCTTTTTGTGGGGCTCCATGGCCAGGGTTTTGGGGCAGCTCTGCTTTTGTTTTAGGGGCTTCTGCATAATGATGAGTTTGCAAAAAGCATTTAACAACTTAAAAGCATTTGAAAACCATTGAAAAATATTTCTGTTTTAATTTACCTACCTCGACATTCATCTCCTGTTTTCTTTAAAACATCAACCAAAAAAAGGATGTGAGGTAATTTTATGTCCACAATTCCCTGGGATATTTTGCTGTCATCCCTAATGTCAGAATGAGGACAAAGGGAAAATAAGGATACAAAATAGAACCAAAGATAGGAAAAGGTTAGCATATCGTTTTCTGGCAGCCAGTATTGGTAGTATCTTAGCACTAGCCCTCATCTTGAGCTGTAAATGCTGGGCAAATTGCTATGACTTTATTAAAAGGAATCCTGTACTAAATTATATTTGTGTGACCCAACAGTGTTCCACAGTGAGCACTTGTTAGCCACATTCAACATCCTTTTGGGTTAGTTGTTGGTATTTAATAGGGACATTATTTTCTTGTCAGGTAATCTAGATTTAGTGGTTGTGATTATGATTCAGGTGTGTCTCCTGGACAGACCTGCTTCTCTCTCCATGTTTGGGTTTTCAGTGGCTTAGTGTTCTAGCAAATAACTGTATTCCTGTATATGCACGTGGTGCTGCAGCTGCTTATTAGAAGCTGTGTGATTCCAGCAGCCACTTGCCTGGGTAGAAAGCCCCACTGCCCTCCAAGTTATATCTCTTGCCTTGTTATCTAGGCTGATTATACCCCTTGTTGATCCTCATAGTCTTGTGGTAACTACCTCCTCCTCCAACCTCCCTGATCACCCCTACCTATAATTAAAGAGAAGAATGGAAGAGGGAGCATGTAGCTGACAAGCTGACAAGTGTGTTTCTGCTGCAAGAGGGGGCTGTGCACCAAACAGATTAGATCATAAGTAGAGTTGCCACGTTTTCCAAAATGTATTCTCCAAGTAGCCTTTTCAGTGTAGCCCATTTGTAGCATCACAGGAGCTGTCTGACAAACAAATACCCATGACCAGTATCAGAAGAAGTCAGAACTGTTCTGGGATTATGTATTTAAGACTTTGCAAATCCTCTTTTTTGAAATACATCTTCCGCCAAGAAATCTTTATGGATGGCAGTGGCTGCTTGTCGATCTCCTACACAGCATTGTGTTTTGGTTTGTTTTTGTTTTGTAATCCTTCGAACACACATTTTAAACTTAATTGTTCTCCTTTGTGGAAAAAATGCATATCTAAATTCACCAATTTGGACAGTGCCTATGTTGATCCTGTGTGAAGGGAAGGAACCAAGGAAGGAATTCAGTTTACTGGTGTGTACTTTTTTGGCTTTCAGATCACAATTGAAATTTAATAGTCTGTACCATTTCATAAGTTTTACTTTCAAGTGTTTTAAAAGTCATATGCATTTTATACCTTTCAACAGAGGAGTTTAAATGTAAACTGAGTAATTAGCAGCTAATTATACAATGCAGATACAGAAGGCAGTTTGTTATCACAATATGGTAGATGGGAGGGGCAGCTTCCACCTTATTTTTGTATGTCTTTATAGGCCAAAAAAAAAAAAAAAAAAAAAAAAACTAAAAAGTAAAGGTTGTGATATTTATATTCCCAAGCTGAGTTTCTCCAGTAAGCAATGGGAGGGATTAAGAGTTGCAGGCACTAAATTAATTGGCTTATTCTTAATGATGGGCTGGCCACCTCCAAAATGCCTACTGTTCTGTGTCACCTATGTTTTGTTTTCCATAGGGAAAGGCAGGTATGGTGAGGTGTGGAGGGGCAGCTGGCAAGGGGAGAATGTTGCCGTGAAGATATTCTCCTCCCGAGATGAGAAGTCATGGTTCAGGGAAACGGAATTGTACAACACTGTGATGCTGAGGCATGAAAATATCTTAGGTAAGTACAAGGATAACCCCCTCGTTAATTGTATCTAGGGAGAAATAATTGTCCGCCTTTGCTCTCTCTGTTTTGGTCAATGTGAATTTGACAGTGTCTCCTAAAAAGCAATATAGGGATCCTTAGCATTTATATGCTATTTAATTTTCTCAAACACCAATTTCTTATTTAAATCTGCAAATAAGTTTAAGACTCTCTGGATGATGAAAAGGAAATCCACTAGTGCTAATTCTTATTCCTGCATCTGCAGATTGTTATTTAAATAACAAAAATTTGCCCCATATTGTTCACTTCAAGGCTCATTGGTTGTTCTACTTACCCCACCCTTTTTGAATATTTATTACTTGAATCAAACTAAGAAAGATCTTTGGACTATTTCCTAGAGATTCACAGCTCCCAGGGATATCGTAATTAAATGCACATTCCCTCAAACTAGGCATCATTTTTAAAACCCAGATTTGCAGAGGGATTCAGGATACATTTTAATTTAGAAACTAAAGCTTAGCAACATTTGTGAAATATGTAAAGTGCCCGTTGAAATACTGCTATGGCAGTATAAAGGGTGAGCACACTCCTTAGGCCCATTGACTTCTATATTTTTGAAAAGTTTCTCCAAATGTGTTTATACTGATACATGTATGGTGAATGCTGCCTGGAATGCTTCTTCAATAGTGGATATAAAGTTTATATAGAATTTAACTCTGTATAGAATAGTGTTGGCCACCTTATGGCTATTGGATTAGGTCTGGCTCATAGGAAGGCCATTGCCAAAATTTATTTCTATTTTAGCACTGCCAATTTAGTATTTAAATGAGTCAAGTTGTCTGCAAATAATGATTTGACAGTTGTCCAAAGCTTCAAAGCTTTGCTTCCGTGGTGTGGTGGTGATGTTCCATCTCAAAATTGTTTCAGTTTCTGTAGTTGATTTCTCACTTTTGCTTACCCATCGGGTCCTAGTCATCACTTAATCCTCCTCACCTCAGCTGTCAGCTTTCCCTTTCCAATTCATCTCTCCACTTGGAGTTGTCTTCCATTGGGGAGCAGAGATAATTCTGTTCAGTGTCTTTGGTGGCTCCCACATTTCCTGCAACACTTGTGACTGGTATTCAAGACTCCCTGGTTTGGGGCTCCAAGGAATCACTTAACCATCCTTTACAAGTATACCCCATTCTGTTACTACGAATACTGACCGTTCTTTGAGCTCGCCGCAAACATTTAGGTCTCATTGTCCTTCCTCAGGTCGCTCTTGATCACTCACTATCCCTTTCACATCCTCCAACCATTCCTTCCTCCGTCAAAACCTCTTGGCCCCCTTTAGTTTTGCCCTGTGGAATTAATTGTGCTTTTCTGCATTCCCTCACTTTGTACCTCTGTTCTAACTCTTACCACACACTGCCTTGTGTTGCCGTTAAATGTCTGTGTAACAAGAATAGCAACAGTCGTGACAACAAACATGTAATGGATCATTACTACGCGGTAACCACGGGTGCATTATGTGCATTTTGTTATGAATCTTCACCATGACCATAAGAGAATAGATACTCTCATTTTCCCAGTTTTAAATGTTGAGGTAACCAGTATATAGAGAGAGGTGAAATAGTGGAGGTGGGAATTACACCAGGCAGCCTAACTCTTAACCACAGTTTTGTACTCAAAACACAAACATTCCATAAAAGTAATCTAGAATCATGAAGTAAACGAAGTTATATAATTCATGCTTAAGAGATAAACAGTTAAAAAAAAAACCTGATTATTTAAAAGTATTTTTTTCCTGATGGTCTAGAGCATAATTAATGGGACAGATAAAATTCTTCCCTAAGACCTAAGGGGCTTACTGAAGGTGAGATAATACAAATGTATTTGTTTATTATTTATTTATTTAATCAGAAGCTCCTTTTTCTTGGGGGAGGAAATCAGTAGAGGCTACACAGATATATAACAATAATTTAATTTCTTTTGAGTGGTGCTGTTAGAGTTGGGGGTATTTTTTAAGAAAATCACTAAAGATTAGTATTATTTGGTTCATAAACTGTTAAAGCAGAAACATTTTCTTTATTAAGAATAACTAATGTCCAAGAACACATTTTGATGCATATTTTGGCCAACTAAGGGCTCCAAGAGAAGCAGCTTCAAGGGGAAAAAGCAGATTGGGGAGTAGGCAAGGAGTGGGAGACTCAGGGCTGGCCATGGGAATAGGCTTAGAGGAAGAGAGAGAAAGAAGTAGAGGGTGAAGGTGCTAAAATATTATTCAGTTTGCTTTGCATATGTCCCTCAGGCGAAAATGTGAAATTATTTTTTCTCTGAGTAGAAATCATTTGTTTGGGGACAGTATGGCATAGTCAGTAAGAGTCTGGGTTCTAGAATCAGACCTACAGGAATCTAATATCAATGATGTGATCTACTTACTTCGTGTGGTTTTTGGAGGATTGCATGTAAAATTCCAGGCACATAGTACTCAATAATTATTAACTGCTTCTATTGTGGTTGCTGATGATGAAGATGATGATGATCAAATAGGGGACCTTTCTTGGCTCACAGAACCTTCCTATACAAGGTATCAGGACAGCTAGCACCAAATTCAGAGTTGATAGCAACTTAAATAGCTATGTGATCCTTGGCATCTCTCAGCAGCAACTTTATTATCTGTAAAATGAGCATAATGATGTCTTTCTTACCAGCTTGTTGAGAAAAATCTCATGAGAAAATATATGTGAAAGTGACATAAATTTTATATAAAGTACTATGCAAGTATAAAGCATTTTAATGTATTTTCTCTTACATTTTCATAAGTCATTTAATTCTTCCTCAAGCCATATCCGTCTTAAATTTTTTTTTTTCTCACTTCTTTTTAAGTCCCAAACTTCACTGTCTACCAGCGTGGTTCATATATGTGAGAATAATCCTAGAAAGGCACCTCTGTAGCAGAAAAGGCAAGCACACGTCACAATTTATTTCATAAGTTAGAAAGTGCCCCTAACTTCCAGACAGTCTTCTGCATGCTCAAAAGTTCCCTCCAGATGTCTAGAAAAATCTTTTCCGGGCTGATAGCGATGGCTCACGCCTGTAATCCCAGCACTTTGAGAGGCCAAGGCAGGTGGATCACCTGAAGGTCAAGAGTTTGAGACCAGCCTGGCCAAAATGGGGAAACCTCATCTCTACTTAAAATATAAAAAATTAGCCAGGTGTGGTGGCGGGCCTCTGTAATCCCAGCTACTGAGAAGGCTGAGGCAGGAGGATCGCTTGAACCCAGGAGGCGGAGGTTACAGTGAGCCAAGATCACGCCATTGCACTCCAGCCTGGGCAACAAGAGTGAAACTTTGTCTCAAAAGAAAAAGAAAAATCTCCTCCAACCTCTTCATCCACATTTGTCAGTCTCTCACTTTACTTCAAGACCAGTTGAGTTGCTACTTCCTAATGGAAGCCTATTGTAACATCTAGTCTGAATTACTATAATTTCCTGCTCTGGGCTCACGTTGCCTTTTGAAGATATATATTATAGTACTTTTCACATTTTATTGTAACGTTTTCGTTTTTACACCTGTCTTCGGCCAACAAACAGTATCATCTTGGTTTTTCTGTGTGTGACTGACAGAGAGCATCATAAATGATCATTATATTTGGTTGGTTTCTTTTTTTATTTTGTGAATCAGTCAATCGTTTAATGTAAACTCACCCCCTTTATTTTACATCTGAGCAGACATAGTCTAGGAAGCCTAATTGAGTTGCCCAGTATTACACAAGTAAATCACAGGCAGAGTCAGGACTAGAATACCATACTCAGGTTTTAGGTTTGGTGTTCTTTTAGGATGGTTGATGAATGGCCTGTTCCTAAAATATCAACATGCTGAAGGGCTTGGCACTATCATTATGGGTGAGCACAAAGATATTATTGCTATCTGAATCTTAAGGAACGTAAAATATTCTTTAAAATATTGCTTATAATGAAATGAATATGAAATTTTCCTATTAGCAGTGCCCTTTTAAGGAATAAATGCTATTATTTTTCTCTGTTGATGCTTCTGTAAACCCCCTCTTAGGGCAATTGGTCAGTTTAATTACTTTTTGTTACAGATGACATTTACTGTGTAGGTTGCTGTTTCTAAATACTTAAAGTTATAATGTGGAATTCTCATGTGTATTAATTTTGTTCTTGGTCTCTTCAGGTTTCATTGCTTCAGATATGACATCAAGACACTCCAGTACCCAGCTGTGGTTAATTACACATTATCACGAAATGGGATCGTTGTACGACTATCTTCAGCTTACTACTCTGGATACAGTTAGCTGCCTTCGAATAGTGCTGTCCATAGCTAGTGGTCTTGCACATTTGCACATAGAGATATTTGGTACCCAAGGGAAACCAGCCATTGCCCATCGAGATTTAAAGAGCAAAAATATTCTGGTTAAGAAGAATGGACAGTGTTGCATAGCAGATTTGGGTAAATTTCTAAAAATATTTTTTTCATTACCAGTTTTACTTTTGTTTCCATGTTTAGCTGAGTTGCATCTCTCCCCCACAACATGTTATGCAAAATTTCAAACATGCAGAAAAGTTGAACATTTACAATGAACACCTTTATACCCACCACATAGATTCTCACATTAACATTTTACTATCCTTAAGCATTATTACGTATTTATTAATCTATTCATCTCCCCATCCATCAGTCCAACTCAACCTTTGATAGAATTCAAAGTAAATTGCAGACAAAGGAATTCTTTCTTCTGATGATTTCAGTGTGTACACTAGTAGATCATTGACAAGAATGCATTATTTGCTTTTTCTTTTTTCAGGTAAAATTTATATACTGTGAGATACAGCAATTTTAAATACTGTCTGAGAGTTTTGACAAATGTTGTAAAACCCAAATCCCTGTTGAGATACAGAGTTTCCCATTACTCGTGACAGTTACCTCACTCTCATTTAGTCAGTCCCGGCCACACCCCACCTCAGAAGTAACCAGTACTTTTGAATTCTGATTTCACAAACCTTCACATAAAGTAGGTGCACAATAAATACTCTGGAGAATTAGTTTGTCTTAAAAGTGGTCTCTAAAATCATTCTGTAACCCAGGCAAAAGAATCAAGTTAAGAAATAGGAAAATAATCCCCAATGGATTCACTCTTTTCCCTGTTAGGATAGCTCATTCTTATGGTGTTAGAGTAGTACTCAATGTAGTTTTAATTGCGTTATAAATAAGAGTATTTTCATGTATAGTGGCATTTTATATAAAACCATGTTCTTCCTGGATTCCTGGAATATTGACTGAATAATTGTACTAATGAGAACTGAATTGTAATAACTACATTCAATTCAGTGAACTATTCAGGGCCCTCTACTTGATTAAACATGGTTTATATGATATTCATATTATTGCAATTATTGTTAGACTGATAAAGGTTTAGACAAAAATAGCTTTAATTATGTAAATAACAACGTTTATTTTTGTTTGTTTTTAAACATAAGGGATTTGACATGTTAGGAAAATTTACTTCCTTTGAATCCTTTTAAAGTCTTTGCTTTTACATTGAGAAATTACAATGTTTCCCAAGCAGGAGAAGAAAGATTTTAGGATAAGCATTGAAAGAGCATGGTCCTAAAGTTTTTTGCAGGCATTTTTAGTTGTGGTGTAGGGGACTTTTATGGCTTATTCCATGGCTCTTAGAGCCAGGGTGATTTGGGTTTAAATTCTGGCTTTCTTAATTACTAACCCTGTATATTTGTGCAAGTCTATTTATCTATTTACCTGGCCCGAGTACTGACCCTGCTTTCACTCAGGGAGACAGGGACAGTGAGGGCGAAGGCGGGTGGGGTTGGGAGTTAGCCAAGAGGAACTCCAGGGTTTGACACTGTGCCCTGTACTTCACTTGAAAAGTTAGGAGTTCAAGACGAGCCTGGCGAACATAGTGAAACCCCATCTCTACTAAAAATACAGAAAAAAAGAAAAACAAAGTAGTCGAGCGTGGTGGCGCGTGTCTGGAATCCCAGCTACTGGGGAGGCTGAGGCAGGAGGATTACTTGAACCCAGGAGACAGAGGTTGCAGTGAGCTGAAGTCGTGCCATTGCACTCCAGCATGGGCGACAGAGCTAGACTACGTCTAAAAAAAAAAAAAAAAAAAAAAAAAAGCAATGTGATTGTATATTACTCATATAACTAAAAAATAAGCCCACGTCACAGGATTCTGGTAAGGCCCAGAAATATTATAAATGTCTGGTAAATAATAAGGATTCAAGTTGGAGCTTCTGTTATAATCCAGTGGTCTGTGGAGGGTGGACAAATCGAGGTGGCTCTTGGTTTTGGTTTATGGGACTTGGTAGGGAAGGAGTTGAGGGGAACTTTGCAGTAAGTCCAGCTAATTAATTCTTCAACTACATTTCTTTTGGCTTGTCCTTCCAGTTAGATATATGGGTTTGTATAAAAATCTGTTAAGGAGTTATTATTCAGGATATGGTAAACAATGCGGTATAGGAAACAACTCTTATAAGACCATGATTTGTATATAACTTTTCAGTGTATACCTAGCAATTAAGGATCGCATATTAGAAATAGTGTTCTATGATTAATCCTGCAAAAAAGTCAGTATTCTATTGATTAATTGGTTGAGAGAGGATCTTATTCTGTTGCCCAGGCTGATCATAGGTCACTGCAGCCTCGATCTACTGGGTTTAAGTGATCTTCCTGCCTCAGCATTCCAAAATAGCTGGGACTCCAGATGTGCACCACAACACCTCGCTAAGTACTTTTTGTTCTTAGTAGAAATGAGGTCTCACTATGTTGCTCCAGCTGATCTTGAACATCTAAGCTCAAGTGACAATCCCATCTTGGCCTCCCAAAATGTTGAGATTACAGATGTGAGCCACTGTGCCTCGCCTATTTTTCTAACTTTTTATTATTAAAAAATTCAAATGTTATAATGATCACTTAAATCCCAAATACCTAGATTCAAAAATTGTTAAAACTTTGCCATGTTTGCTTTATCAATCTGTGGCTGTGTGTATATTTTTGCCAGTCCATTTGAAAATAAAGTGTTACAGGCATCACAACACTTTACCCCTCAATACTTCAAAATCATCCCTATTTTTATGCTATCCCAAACTTGCAAAATACTTAAAAATGCATCTTCTTCATAATCAGTTTATCATATCTACAAATTATTGATAACTCTCTAGTATCATTTTATATTCATTTTCAGATATTTTCAGTTATTTCAAAGAAGAACTCAGCCAAAGTTTACAAATTGCATCTGGTTGTTTTGTCATCTTTAGTGTAAAAATCACTTATTAGTAAGAAGAAATTACTTGTAAAATTTAGCAGCTTAAAACAACACAGATTTGTTATCTCACACAGTCCCTTCAGGGTCAGGAATCTTGGAATGACTTAGCAGTGTGGTTCTGGCTCAGGGTCTTATGGAGGTTGCAGTCATCTGAATGTTCAACCGGAGCTGGAGGTTCCAACTCCATGACGACACACTTACAGCCATGGTTGGCAGCAGGTCTCAGTTCCTTGCAGGGGGACCTCTCCACAGGGCTGCTTGAGTGGCTTCATAACATGGTGCATGGTGAGCTGAGAGGGACAAACAGGAAGCCTTTTATAATTTTATAATGTCTTTTATATTCTAATTGTGAAGATACGCACTGTCACTTCTGCCAGATTCTATTCAATAGTCCAACATACACTCAAAGAATGGGGAATTATGCCTCACCTGGAGATCCTAGCTGTGGTGGCTTTAAAATATGTCCACAAGGTCTTTGAAGCTTCTCCCATCTTCCGAATATCTCCATGTTCTATTTAACCTTCACCTTTTAAATATTCTGATATTTTGACTGTTTGGTTCTGGAAATGGTGAAGGGGCATACAGTAGTCCCCTCTTTTCCATAGGAAATACCTTCCAATACTCCCAGTGGATTCCTGAAACCCAGGATAGTACCAGATTCTATATATACTATGTTTTTTCCTGTTACATACCTACTATAGTTTAATTTATAAATTAGGTACAGTAAAAGATGAACAACAATAACATAATAAAATGGAACAATGATAGCAGTATGCCATAATACAATTTATGTGAATATGGTCTCTCCCAACATCTTAATCGTACTATACTCACCTATTTTTGGACTGTAGTTGACTGTGGGTAACTGAAGGATAAGGCGGGGACTATTGCATAGGATTTGGGAAATGTTCACAGTGTCCACAGAATCTTGGGGTTGATTATAAAAATAGGTGAAAGAGGAATACTGTCTATTTTAGTCTAATGCAATTGCCAGTGTCTCTGCTAATTATTAAGGATGAGATAAGGTGTGCTAGCTCCCTGATGTTATATGAAATTGTCATCCCGCACATTCAAAGCCGTGGAGTGGAAGGTGAAGCATTCTCTGTAGTCGGCTTGAGAGATCACCAAGGGATATTTGCATTGCAGTGGTTTACAGGGACTGCTTGCTCCAGTTTGGCACTTTTCATTACAACAAATGTTATAGGAATCATTTTCAGTCAGTCTGCGTATGCATCAATAACATAAAATCATCCACAAATACAGCATGCATGTATCTGTCTCCCCACTGGCCAGTGAAGAAAGCCTGTCTCCCTAATTGACTGAGGAATTCTGGAATGAGTCATGGTTTAAGAAAGCATTTGAAAGCCATTTAACCTTTCATTTAACCAGAGTTGTGCTTTCAACTGAGGTCCAGTTAAATGCTGTCTGTTTCCATGATTCTAGAGAAAGGCTTGTCGGTTTGGTCAGCATTATTGCTCAGATAAGCAGCTCTTCCTTTAGGAATAAAGCAGTGCTTATAGCAATCTGCCCTTTATGTAGTGATAAATTACTTTAAATGCTCTATCTCACACTGTTGGAAATTTGTGTTTGGAGACTAGTAAGAGCAGTGGTGGAGCTTGAGAGCTTTATTTGCTTCTTGTTAAGCCACTTAGAGGCTCACATTTAACATGTGAACTTGTTTTCCTGTGGACTTCAAACACTGGCCACGTTGGTTTAGTGCATTGGTCTTCCATTTACCCAAAACTGTTTCTCTTTGAGGTTCATATATTAACCTAATAGCCTCAGAATGTTTCTGACATTTAGTCCCTTTTCTGCTCTCACCCCAGAAATAATCACAAAGGGCATTCTAGGGATTATTCTGAGTGTAATGCAACAGTGACCCTGAATCCACAAGAGGGCACTTTTGATTGGGGTTGGTTTAAAATCCTTCAGCAGCCCCTTATGAGAAAGGAAGTGGTTTGATTACATTGTTATCTTCTTCCTTTCAGGCCTGGCAGTCATGCATTCCCAGAGCACCAATCAGCTTGATGTGGGGAACAATCCCCGTGTGGGTACTAAGCGCTACATGGCCCCCGAAGTTCTAGATGAAACCATCCAGGTGGATTGTTTCGATTCTTACAAGAGGGTCGATATTTGGGCCTTTGGACTTGTTTTGTGGGAAGTAGCCAGGCGGATGGTGAGCAATGGTAGGTATCTAATCTAATATTGTCTTAATCCAAGCTCTCTTGATCCAGCTACCTTTAAAAGGACTGAAGGGACTATTGAAGTTCACATTGTTCTTTGAATCATACTTGTCAAGTTATAGGCATTCATATTTGATTTATGGCTGGTAGATGGAGTGTAATGACTTTTATGTTTGAAATACACCACAGTAAGTGATGGTTGAAACCAGTATTTCTGGAGAGACCAGCCATTCCTTGGTTTTTCTTTGGATTTGTTTCATATTTCTTTTCTTTTAAATTTTAAAAATTGATACATAATACTTGCATTTATGGAGTACATGTGATATTTTGATAAATGTATGTAATACGTAGTGCTCAAATCAGGGGATTTAGGCTGTACATCACCCTGAACATTTATCTTTGTGTTGGGAACATTCAAATAGTCTCTTCTAGCTATTTTGAAATATATAGTATATTATTGTCAACTATAGTCATGCTACTGTGCTGTTGAACATTAGAACCTATTTTTTCCATCCACCTCTATGTTTGTACCCATTAACCAATGTCTCTTCATCCCACTGCCATCCTCACCCGTATTCCCCAACCTTCTCAGCTTCTGGTAACTATCATTCTACTCTCTACTACCATGAGATCAACATTTTAGCTCCCATATGAGTGATAACTAGCTGTATTTGTCTTCCTGTATCTGACAGATTTCATTTAACATAATGACCTCCAGTTCCATCCATGCTGCTGCAACTGACAGGCTTTCATTCTTTTTTGATGGCTGAATACTACTCTATTAATGTATATTTACCACATTTTCTTTATCCGTTCATCCATTGATGGTCTCTTAGGTTGATTCCATATCTTGTATATTGTGAAGAGTGTTGCAATAAATATGGAAATGTAGATATCTCTTTGATATACTGATTTCCTTTGCTTTGGATAAATACCCAGTAGTGAGATTACAGGATCTTATGGTAGCTGTATTTTTAGTGTTTTGAGAAATCTCTATACTGTTTTCTATAATGACCCTATTCGTTTATATTCTCACCAACAGGGTATAAGAGTTCACTTTTCTCTGCATTCTCACCAGCATTTGTTATTTTTTGTCTTTTTGATAGTAGTCATTCTAATTGGGGTAAGATGATATCTCATTGTAGTTTTGACTTGCATTTCTCTGATGATTAGTGATGTTTAGAATTTTTTCATGTACTAGGTGGTCATTTATATGACTTCTTTTGAGAGATGTCTGTTAATGCTCATATTTTAATGAAATTATTTTTTGTTGTTGTTGTTGAGTTGTTTGAGTTCCTTGTATATTCTAGATGTTAGCCTCCTGTCAGATGAATAGTTTGTAGGTATTTTCTCCCATTCTACAGGTTGTCTTTTTGCTCTATTGATTGTTTCCTTTGTTGTATAGAAGCTTTTAAGTTTAATCTCATTTGTCTATTTTTGTTTTTGTTGCCTGTGCTTTAGAGGTCTTAGCCATAAAATCTTTGCCTATACCAATGTCATCAAGTGCTTCCCCTGTGCTTTCTTCTAGTATTTTTATAGTTCGGGGTCTTAAATTTAAGTCTTTAATTGGTTTTGAGTTGATTTTTTTTTTCTCTCTTTTTTTTTTTTTTTTTTTTTTGAGACAGAATCTTGCTCTGTCACCCAGACTGGAGTGCAATGGTACCATCTCGGCTCATTGCAACCTCTGCCTCTGGGGTTCAAGCCTCCTGAGTAGCTGGGATTACAGGTGTGTGCCACCACACGCAGCTAATTTTTTTATATTTTTAGTAGAGACAGGGTTTCAGCATGTTGGCCAGGCTAGTCTCGAACTCCAGACCTCGTGCTCTGCCCACCTTGACCTCCCAAAGTGCTGGGATTACAGGCATGAGCCACTACGCCCGGCCGAGTTGATTTCTTATGTGGTAGGAGATAGGAGTCTGATTTCATTCTTCTGCATATAGCTATCCAATTTTCCCAGCACCATTTATTGAAGAGGGTATCCTTTCCTCAAATTATGTTCTTGGTGCCTTTGTTGAAAAATATGTGGATTTATTTCTGGTTTCACTATTCTGTTCCGTTAGTCTATGTGTCTGTTTTTATACCAATACCATGCTGTTTTGACTACTATAGTTTGATGTAATATATTTTGAAGTCAGGTAGTGTGATGCTTCCAGCTTTGCTCTTTTTGCTCAGTATTGCTTTGGCTATTTGGAGTCTTTTGTGGATTCATACAAATTTTAGGATTGTTTTCTCTGTTTCTATGTAGAATGTCACTTGTATTTTGATAGAGTTTGCTTTGAATCTGTAGACTGCTTTGGGTAGTATGGTCATTTCAACAATATTCATTTTTCCAGTTCATGAGCATGGGATGTCTTTCCATTTGTTCGTATCCTCTTCAACTTTTTTCATCAGTAGTTTTTCTTGTAGAGGTTTTTTACCTCATTGGTTAAATTAATTCTTAGATTTTTTTTTTTTTTTGGTAGCCATTGTAAATGGGATTGCCTTCTTGATTTCTTTTTCAGCCAGTTTGTTACTGGTATATAGAAACAGTACTGATTTTTGTATGTTGATTTTTGTAACCTGTAACTTTACTGAACTTATCAGTTCTAAGATATTTTGGTGAGTTTTAGTTCTTTCTAGATAAAAGATTATGTCATCTGCAAAGGGACAATTTGACTTTCCTTTTTCCATACTGAGTGCCTTTTATTTCTTTGTCTTGCTTGATTGCTCTGGCTAAGGCTTCTACTACTATTTTGAATAAGAATGGTGAAAGTAGGCATTTTTGTCTTGTTCCAGTTCTTAGAGAAAAGGCTTTCAGCTTTTCTCCATTCAGTATAAATTTATCTGTGAGTTTGCTGCATATGGCCCTTATTATGTTGAAGTTTGTATATTCCTTCTATACCTGCTTTGCTGAGAGTTTATATCATGAAGGGATGTTGAATAGATACAGAATTTTTCTGCATCTATTGAGATGATCATAAGGTTTTTGTCTTTGATTCTGTTGATGTGATATATCACATTAATTGAGTTGCTTATGTTGAACCTTCCTTGCATCCCAAGGATAAATCCCACTTGATCATGATGTGTTATCTTTTTGATGTGTTGTTGGATTCAGTTTGCTTGTATTGTGTTTAAGATTTTTGCATCTATGTTCATTGGGGATATCGGCCTGTAGTTTTCTTTTTTTTGTTGTGGTGTCCTTGTCTGGTTTGGTATCAGGGTAGTTCTGGACTCAAAATGAGTTAGGGACAATTCAGTACTCTTCAATTTTTTTGGAATAGTTTGAGAAGAATTGCTGTTAGTTCTACTTAAGTTTGGAAGAGTTCAGCAGTAAAGTCATCCAATCCTGAGGTTTTCTTTATAGGGATACTTTTTATTACTGACTCGATCTTGTTACTTATGGTCTGTTCAGTTTTTAAATTTTCTTTTGGTTCCATCTTGGTAGATTATATCCATTTCCTCTAGGTTTTCCAATTTGTTTGTAATAATCTCTGATGATTTCTGTATTCCTGTGGTGTCGGCTATAATGTCTTCTTTTTTGTTTCCAATTTTATTTACTTGGGTCTTCTCTCCTTGTTTCTTGGTTAGTGTAGTTAACAGTTTATCAGTTTTGTTTACCTTTCCAACAAACTTCTTATTTCATTAATCCTTTGTATGATTATTACTTTTTGGTCTCTATTTTGTTTAGTTTTGCTATGACCTTTCTTACTCTATTAAATTTGGGTTTGGTTTGTTCTTGCTTTTCTAGTTCCTTGAGGCTCATCTTTAGTTTGGACTCTTTCAACTTTTCTGATGTAGGTGTTTATTGCTACAGACTTATCTGTTATCACTTCTTTTGTTGTATCCCATGGGCTTTGGTATGTTGTGTTTCTGTTTTTATTTGTTTCAAGAATTTTTTTTATTTCCTTCTTAATTTCTTCATTGACCCAGTGGTTGTTCGGGAACATGTTTTTAAATTTCCATGTGTTTGTACAGTTTCCAGAGTTTCTCTTGTTATTGATTTCTAGTTTTATTCCATTTGTTGAGACTTGTTTTGTGGCCTAACATATGGTCTATTCATGTGCTGATGAGAATAATGTGTATTCTGTAGCTGTTGGATAAAATGTTCTGTAAATGCCTGTTAGGTCCATTTGGTCTAAAGTACATTTTAAATCCAATGTTTCTTGGATTTTCTGTCTAGATGATCTGTTCAGTGCTAAGAGTAGGATGTTGAAATCCCCAACTATTATTGTGTTGGAGTCTGTCTCTTTAGGTTTAATAATACTTGCTTTGTATAAAAATGCTCCAGTGTTGGGTGCATATATATCTAGAATCATGATATTCTCTCTCCCTTTATCATTATACAGTTGACCTGGCACATCACAGGTGTGAACTGCATGATTTTTTCAACCACACGTGAACAACAACAAAAATACATTATTTGTGGGATGCAAAACTGAGTATATAGACAGCCTACTTTTTGTATCTGTGGGTTTCGCAGGTCCAACTGTGGTACTGAGTATGTATATATTTTGGTTTAGACTGGGGTCCTGGAACCAATCCTCCATGTATACTGAGGGACCACAGTATAATGACCTTTTTTGGTCTCTTTTTACAGTTTTTGGCTTAATGTCTGTTTCATCTGATACAAGTATAGCTACTTCTGCTTGCTTTTGGTTTTCATTTGCATGGAATATCTTTTTTTATCCCTTCACTTTCAGTCTATATGTGCCTTTACAGGTGAGGTGGGTTTCTTGTAGACATCATGTAGTTGGGTCTTGTTTTTAATCTGTTTAACCAGTCTATATTTTTTAATTGGGGGGATTTAATCTGTTCACATTCAAAATTATTATTTATAGGTGACTAATTGGGGGGATTTAATCTGTTTACATTCAAAATTATTATTTATAGGTGAGAACTTATTTCTGCCTTTTTATTAATTGTGTTCTGGTTGTTTTGTATATCCTTCATTTCTTCGCCTTTTACTGTTTGTTTTTTTGTCTGTGTGGTTTGTGTATTTTCTCCTTAAATTAGAATTTTTTCTC